ATATACAGCGGCTTGTTGATTTGTGGAGACTTTAATTTGGATTAACTGGGATTCGAACAGTATCTCAACTTTCAGCAACACAGATACCCTTTCAAGTAATTTTATTGATATCCTCGCCGAGTCCACTTTTCAACTTGATGAAATTACATCGAACAACATTCTTGATCTAATTATAGCCGAAAATGAAAATTGGGTTCTCAGTATTATTCACCATGCACCTTTAACTTCTCTGACTAAATCTCACCACGTCCTTCAATGGGATTACGTTGTTAAAAGCGCTGCAGTTGTAGGAAAACACATTAAAAAAAGCGCATTTATCATAAAAGTAACTTTGAAAAGATATCCGAATATTTTAACAATATCATAATAACTGGCAGATGGAATTCAATGGACGCAATACTGATGATTGTTAAAACATTTTCCTGTAAAGCGAATGTATATAAAAATCTTAAACTAGTCAACGAATACAAAGCGTGTAATATTCAATTGAAGAAGCTCATATATAAAGCTCGTTGTGAGTTTGAACTTGATTTAGCGATAAAATCGAAGCACAGCCCAAAGATCCTGTTCAAGTATGTTAATAGCAAACAAAAAAATTCACAATAGAAATTGCAAATCGGCTGAACAATCACTTTCAAAGTGCTTTCAACAAAAATGAAGACGATGAATTGCCATATTTTGAAAAACGAACTGAAGCCATCTGCAAATACTCGCAAATAACGCAGGATCTGGTTAAAACAAGCTGAGCGATTTATCAGTTGACAAAACCGTTGGTTTGGATGGTGTAAGCGCATATGTTCTGAAGAACTGTTCTGACAGCTTCTCAATACCTTTAAGCGCAATTTTTCAGAAGTCGCTAGATAGTGGGTGTTATTCTGAAGTATGGGAAAAAGCTAATGTAACACCACTGTTTAAAAACAAAAGTAGAGTCGACCCAGGCAATTACCGGCCTATATCCTTAAAATCAATTGTAGGTAAAGTGATGGAAAAAATATTACGTGACACTATGGTCAATCATTTAGTCGAACACAGCCTTATTTCAAAAAAACAACATGGTTTTGTCAATAAAAAAGCTTGTGTGACTAATTTGTTGGAGTCGATTGACATAATGTCAAAAGCATTATCTAACAAGATATCTATGGACGTAGTTTTTATAGATTTCAGTAAAGCATTTAATATGGTTCTACACAAGAGACTAATTTACATACTTGAGGGATATGGTTTTACTGGAAAAATCCTGAATTGGATAAAATTGTTTTTACACCAGCGTTTTCAATGAATCGTGATGGGCGATTATGTTTCCTTGTGGCTTAAGGTATTTAGTGGCGTCCCTCAAGGATCCGTATTAGGTCCAATACTTTTTATCATTTTTGTGAACAATATATCCGATATTGTTAAAATCCATGTAAAATGTATGCTGATGACACTAAACTGCTGGCCCGTTTAGACCACCCATTAGCTTCACCAATGCTTCAAACTGATATTTACAACATAGCCGATTGGTGTAAAACCTAGAAAATGAAACTTATTCTCGATAAATGTAAAATCATGCATATAGGTAAAAAAACATCTTTTATGTCTACTCAATGCCATCTAATAACAATAACAGTGTCGAATTAGCATCGACTTTAGTCGAACGTGATTTAAGCATCATGATTAAGCCAGACTTAAAATGGCATAGCATTTCAACTTTTGCAACCAATAAAGTTAACCGTGTATTAGGCATGTTGCATCGTACTTTCACTCACATGACTCCGCAACTACTTAAAATTCTATACACAACATTTGTACGACCTCATCTAAAATTTGCGGTAGCAGCCAGCAATCCATCATCATGATTAGATATTGACAAAATTGAGAAAGTACAAAGAAGAGCTACCCGTTTAATACCTTCGTACCGTCAGATGTTATACAAAGATCGTCTGAATATACTGAACTTAACGTCTTTAGAAACCCGTCACATTAGGAGAGATCTGATACAGGCCTATAAAATTATTAACAATATAGACATTGTTTCATGGAGTGAACCCCATGTCCTTCGTGTTGGGGAGTCAAATAAAATAAAAACTAGAGGACATTATCTAAAAATGACTAGAGAATATCTTCAAAATTGCGAGCAAAGGCACCAGTTTTTTTACTTATCGAATAGTAAATCATTGGAATGCATTGCCGTCAGAAGTTGTATGCGCTTCATCAGTTAACAGTTTCAAGGTTCAGCTTGATGCAGAAATTTCAAATAATCCGCATAAGTATCGAGATCATAACTAATAAAAAAAAAAAAAAGAAAAACAATAACGTACAAACTTATACTTCATACTATATGTCTTATTGTAAATTTTTATATATTGATATGAATAAAGTTTGTGTATGAAGTAGATAAGGCTGCCAAAACCTGTAGGTTATACAGGGAAACCTGTTGCAGCAATTTTTCTACTACTACTACTACTACTACTACTACTACTACTACTACTACTACTACTACTACTACTACTACTACTACTACTACTACTACTACTACTACTACTACTACTACTACTACTACTACTACTACTACTTATATGGATTATCTTCCATTTCTAGTTGGAAAAGATGTCTTAAATGTTTAAAAAGATGTTTTAAATGATTTAAAAGAAGTCTTAAATTGTTTTGTTTTCGAAAAAAAATATTGTACTATAACATGTATGTTAATAGAATGAATGAATGAATAATAAATGAATTTTGAAATTCATTTGTTGACAAATTTAGGTATACCCAAATTTGTCTACATGATGCAAATTATTTTAACTCAAACTTAAATTTTTAAAATTCATTCAAAACTTTGCGGACATCATATCGTTTAGCGTTTAATTGATCAATTTTTACCACTTGCGCATGTTCCCGAGATACTTCAAAAGAACCTTCTTCTCTAACACGATGTTGTATAGAAAAACTTACGAAATCTGATGGATCGTTAATAAATTTTGATAAGAAATGTTTTTTTTCATCCTGAATTTTTTTCCATTATATCTTTTTTTTTTGTTTTCAACAGCTGCATAACGTATTATATGAGGCTTTAAAGTGTTACTTTTGTTAGTTAAAGGTTGTTTGTTTGGTGTTAAATTTGCTTGAATGACACACGGTTGTTTAATCTTGATACCTGGCAGACATTTATAGTGCGCATGCGTCTCTGTAGATTTGTTGTTTTGCTCTCAATATTTACTGAAATTTACATTAATATTTTAAGACCCCGGAGATTTTTACAGGTTTTTATAAATTATTTTTGTTCATCTTGTAAAGCTTTAAAAGATAGTCAAACAACAAAAGAAGATATCTTAATAAAAAACAGTTTGTTGTGATTGGTTTTTAAAAAACTTTGAATAGCTGTAGAAAAAAGTATTCGTATTAAAAACTCATGTTTTTATAAACCTTTGTAACTTGTCTTATATAATTTTATATTTTTAATACCAAGTTGAGATAATTGGGAAGATATTGAATCAAAAATTGTTAAGTATGTACTATAAGTAACTTGTAAAACACTATCTTTTGAATACAACACTTATAAACTTAATACTTAGTGTGAAATTGTTTATATATACATGTAAATATATATATATATTTCAGATTTTTCAATATATATAAATATATATATATACATATATATATATATATATATATATATATATATATATATATATATATATATATATATATATATATATATATATATATATATATATATATATATATATATATATATATATATATATATATATATATATATATATATATATATATATATATATATATTTCAGATTTTTCCAGACAAAAATGTCAAACTACCTTCACTTGCTAATCAACAAAAAGTTTCAAAGTATTGGTCTGATAATAATTTGATTGTTGAAAATAAATAATTTCTATTTGAATTAAAAACAAAAAAGAATCTTTTGAATTAAAAGATACACCAACAGCATACATTAATGATTTACAATTACATTTAAATAAGGTTCTGGATGAATTAGAAAGGTAAGATCACAATATAATTAAAAATATGAACTTAAACTCAAAGAGAATGTTAAATAGTTTTTTAATTACTATTAACATAGTCACTCAAGATAATGATCATGTCATAGAAGTAAATATATATTTATCAATATTTTATTCTTTTTTATCATAGTTATAACCAACTAACGTATGGCAAAATAACATTTAATGAAATACATATAATGATTGGTGGAGACCATGGAGATAATTCATTTAAAATGAGCTACCAGGTAACTAATTTCGCTGAACCCAATTTAAAAGATAAAACAATAGGTTTCAATATAGTTGAGGCTAAAGATTACATAGCAAATCTTAAAATTGGGTTCTCAAGACACATAGAGGAAATTTTTTTCAAAGTTTGGAATAATTGTATCGTCTTCTGCTACAAGTATTGAACGTTGAAGCTGACTGCTGAATACATTTGCAAATTTAAAAGTATTGTTTTTGTTGGATACATTTAGATCGCTAATAGCTCGTACTTTGTATTGGATTGTCTGCCGTTGTTTAGCATATTTAAAAAACAATTTTAGGTTACTAATAGACTTTGCCGTAAGCTGCTTCTCAAACTTGCGTTTAGCTTCTTTGACTGCTACTTGAATTTTTATGTAATTCTATTTGCAATTTTTGGGCAGATAAATACCATATTATTACCATTTATTCTTTCACAAATGTTCTGATTAAATCGGGTTTCATCTAAATAATATGGCATTTATGACATCATTGTTTAATTAGTGGTACATCAGGGCCGGCGCGAGTAAGAGTAACGTGATGGGAGGGGAGGGAATGTGCCATTGCAATTTATGCCGATTAAAAAAATCAAAAAATTAAGGTCCTCGTTTTTCTAAAATTTTTCTAAAGTATTCTAAATTTTGCCAACTGGCTGGTTGATATTTGCCGACTGACTGTCTAATTAACCGACTAACTGGTAAAAAAGATCTACAATTGCCGACTGACGTGTCTAAAAGGGTCATATTTGCTATATATTTGATTTTAGCAACAGACAATAGAATAATAAAAGTATTGCAAACATAACTGTTTAATCCAAAGAATATTTATAAAGCAAGTAGTTAAAGCAAAATTACACCATAATTTCCAAATTAACCCTGGTTTACGGTACTAAATTTAGAGGGTAAGGGCAACCGCTGTTCATTTTTTTTTTAATCTGTTGGGCAAACCCTTAAAACGTTGATTCATGTCTCAAGGGATTTTTTATTTAAGAAATTAATATTATTCCTATACGAAGGGCAAACATTCTTTTATTTTGTCTAAACCAAAGTTTGTTATAAATCAACCTTAAAAACACTGCATAACTTAATAACAAAATTCTACTTTTAAAATTTTTAAAATTGTTTTTATTTTATTTCACGTACCTAGGTACGGCAATTGAAAATAGTTTATTATGGTTTATATCTTATAGATAACTTTTGATAAAAGTATGGGTGACTCAGCAGGAAAAGTGAGTAATATATTATTTTTATCATCAACTTTATTAATAATAATTTTTTAAGTATATTTTTTACACATTGCAATGAACAGTATTTTTATATTTAGGCATTTTAAAAATAAGAATAATAAAAAGTATTTATTTGTCAGTTCAGTTCTACTTCAATTTTTCATACTGTTTTTTTTAGGTAATTGTATGCAAGGCAGCAGTAGCATGGGCGCCAAATGAAGCATTAAAAATTGAAGAGATTGAAGTAGACCCGCCTAAATCTGGAGAAGTTCGTATTAAAATCATTGCTACTGGTGTTTGTCATACTGATGCTTATACTTTGAGTGGAGCTGATCCTGAAGGTGTTTTTCCAGTAATACTTGGACATGAAGGTGGTGGTATTGTTGAAAGTGTTGGTGACAATGTTACATCAGTAAAACCAGGTAAGAATTTACTTGGTTCTAAAAGTACGACTTTCTTTATTCTTTTTTCTATTCTGCTGTTATTTTTTAAATACTTATAAACTTATAGTTTGTTAAAACATAATTCATTTTTATAGTATTATTAATGTAATCTAAAAACTTTTCTTTTAACAGAGAAAAGTGCAGTTAATTTAAAGCTTTAATATGTTTCCTGTATAAACATCAAGATGTTTATATTAATAAAACTAAATAATATTAAATATTTCCTTGAATAATATAATAGTATAATAAATTATTATTAAATAGATTTACTAGTTTGTAACTATGTGATAATGGTATAAATTAATGAAAAAAGACAAGTAAACAAAATAGGAAAGGAATATAAAACTACAGTAAAACAAGATAGATTAGGATAGGATATGTTTTGAAGAGTTTAAAGCTTATAACTGAATAAAAAAACACATTAAATAAATATAATTACAAAATGTTAAAAAAAAAACTTTACCTTTAATATTGCATTGAGTAGTTCTAATGGATTATAGGTTTGATAATAATAATAATAATAATAATAATAATAATAATAATAATAATAATAATAATAATAATAATAATAATAATAATAATAATAATAATAATAATCAATAATAATATATATTAATGCTGAAATAGAAATAATATATCACTAGGTTATTGCAGCCATTAATATAAACATAACCATACAAACCAACCCGTTTCATTAGTAGGACGACCAAAAAACACCTAACAAGCAGTTAATTGTTAACATCGTTGGTTATAATACCATTGTGAATGTAAACGTTAGTAATCATATCTGGAGGATATAATAGCCTTAAATGAGTTTAATGATATTGTATTAGTATCTTTGGTTTTTAAGGTATTCCACAATTTCGCAGCTTTGTTTTTATTTATTTATTTTTTGCAATACTTTTTTAAAAAGTTTACTTTTACGTTGTATTTCATTCTTAATCTCAATAAACTAGTGTTGTAATTATAAAGATCACTAGGCCTCAAATTCTACAAATGCCTCGAGTAAATTTGTTATCAGTGAAGAGGTTGACAGTGATGAAAGTGATTTAGAGGATTAAGGTATTTTTGCTGCACAAAAGAAAGGAAAGTTGTTGACGCGGAAGAGGAAACTGAAGGAAAATCGTTAATAATTTAGTACCATCAGATAATCAACCAGAAAAAGAAGAAAGCCGCTATTTAAATAACTATGTTTCTTAAGAACTTTAGTTCTTGCGGAGATGTGATAATGGCTGATTGTTATAAAATTTTGTTGTTATGTTTATAATTATTTTTGTCATAATATTATCTACTTAACTGATGTAATTTATTACTGCTAATCCTAAGCTCTTTTTGTATATAATTACACCCTCAAGAATTTTTTTTTATATATAAATAAAATTTTATAAAATTTTCAAAAATAATAATCATTTAATATAAAGATTACTAGTTTAAAATTTATTGCTTAAAAACTATCATTTTTTAAGGGTCTTGAGCAACCCCTAAATTTTTTTTTTATTTAAATTTTTTTTTAACTTAGTGTTAACTTATTACATTGAACACATTTAGGGGGTGGCAGCAAATAATTTCAAAAAAAGTTTTATTAGTGGCACTCTAATATATATATATATATATATATATATATATATATATATATATATATATATATATATATATATATATATATATATATATATATGTATATATTTATATATATATATATATATATATATATATATATATATATATATATATATATATGTATGTATATATATATATATATATGTATATATATATATATATATATATATATATATATATGTATATATATATATATATATGTATATATATATATATATGTATATATATATATATATATATATATATATATATATATATATATATATATATATATATATATATATATATATATATATATATATATATATATATATATATATATATTCATACTTGTTATATAAGATAACTTGTTAAAAAAAAAATTATGACAAAAAAAAAGATACAAAACTATAAGCGAAAAAAAATAAAATAATTAAAAGATATTAAAAACTTCTTAAGGCAAAAAGTTATACATAAGCATAAATTGTTATTTAAAATAATCTTATGCTTTAAAACTCACAGCAAGTAAGTATTCTTGAAATGGAATTGTCTTGTCTATTAATTGTGTACTATTATACAGATGGTTTGATGGGCCTTAAATGTCATTTTTTCTTAGTATACTATTATTTTTAATCAATAAAGTTTATTTCAAATTTTTTTTTAACATATTTTTTTAATATGTGTTCATATTAAACTTTACAGTTTTGAATGTCTTTAAATAAGTTTTAAATAAAAGGCTATATTTAAAAAAAGAAAATGTTTTTTGGTTAAATGATGATTCTGTATACCATAATTTTAAATTGTAAAAGGATTGGGAAAAAAAGTAACATTTTCATATCAAATGTCTTTTGCTTTGTTATCATAAAAAAAGTGTTGTATGTTTATTTTGATAAATGTATTTTTTTTCCTAGGTGATCATGTTATTCCATTGTACATTCCACAATGTTATAACTGTAAATTTTGCAAATCTACAAAAACTAATCTCTGCAGTACAGTTAGGTAATAATATATATACATATAGATAAATCTCTATGCTAAGATGAATTTTAAATAAAGCATTTTTCCAATACTTGCTCTAAAATGTTATTTTAATGGTGAACTTTTTATCACATTGCATATGTAAATTCAGAAGCAACCAATCATTGTTTATTTTGTAATAAAAAATGAACATTGGTTGCTTGGCCTCCTCTAATGGGGTTTGGAAATGGTTCAAAGGGTCTCAATGTCCAGTAGGGTGTTCCAAAAAATAACATTTTTGAAAATAATCTGCTCTCACCCCCTAAATGTGTTCTATCTAAACAAAAACACTAGGTTTAAATTTTTTTTGAATAAAAAATATTTTAAGGGGTCCCTCAAGACCCTCGAATATTTAATGGGTCCCTAATATTTTCGAAAAAAAAGTTTTTCAAAAATATGTCAACCTAGTACTCAAATGAAGCGAAATTATATAAATAATTCAAAAATAATATTTATTTCGAAATATTTTTAACTTATTTATTAAAATTATAAAAAAAACATTAGAAATGCATTTTTTTCATTTTTTCTTAAAAAACTCAATTTTTCATGTAATAAAACCAAAAATAACAATTTGTTGGACCCCTTAAAATATTTTTTATTTAAAAAAAATTTAAACCTAGTGTTTTTGCATTAGATAGAACACATTTAGGGGGTGAGAGCAGATTATTTTCAAAAATGTTGTTTTTTGGGACACCCTAATGTCCAGTACCTTTTTTGACTCCCTGTAAATGTGATAAATATAGTAATCAATAACAAAGAAAGTGTTATGTTGGTTTAGCTCTAACCTTGCTTGTAATATTTTCTCGCTTTCATTCCAATGGCAGGACAGAGTTGCAGGCAAGGAAGAGAAAAAATGTTGCAGTTTTTTTATAAAAACAATATGGAAGTAGAGGAAACTAAAGTTTATATTTATTACTTAAATTTTTTTCTTTTTCATTATTGTTTTGTTTTCTAATTTTGTTATTTAATTGCAATGTTTTTTTTAACTAGAGCAACACAAGGGAAAGGTTTGATGCCTGATGGTACAAGTAGATTTCGTTGTAATGGAAAAGAAATTTACCATTTTATGGGCTCAAGCACTTTTACAGAATATACTGTTTGTGCTGAAATTTCTGTGGTGAAAGTAAGAAACACAATTATTGGAAATATTAAAAAGATTATAGAAACAAAATAGGTTTAAACAAAAAAACATTTTAAAAAATTAACATTAAAACAAATATTTTTGTTTTGATGCAGTTTCACTTTTGAATGTATTGATATTAATAAAAAAAATTTTTTTTTTTTATATATTTATCACAAGTTTATATTTTTAAATAGTAAAAAATTTTTTTCATCTAAATAATACTTGTATTAATATTCTATTTAGTATTCTGCACTATTTTTTCTTTCAAAATTTTTCAGATAAATGAGTCAGCTCCATTGGATAAAGTTTGTTTACTAGGATGTGGAATATCTACGGGTTATGGTGCTGCAATAAATACTGCTAAGGTTCGCATTTTCTTCATTTTCTTTATAATCTTAAAAACTGTTAAATTGAGAAAGATTTTAATTAAGAAATGTTAAATATTTGAATTATTAAATAACTGTTTAGGTTGAACATGGTTCAACTTGTGCTATTTGGGGTGTAGGATGTGTTGGTTTGGCGACTATAATGGCTTGTAAGGAACTTGGAGCTTCAAAAATATTTGCTATTGATATAAATGGTGAAAAAGAAAAAGTTGCTAAAGAATTTGGAGCAACTGATTTTATAAATCCCAATAACTTAACAAAACCTTTACAGGAGGTAATTTTTTAAGTGTTATTTTTTATTTTTTGAAATCTTTTTCCAGTAATTAAAAAAATTGATTTTGGTCAGTGCTTTTGAATTTAAAGAGTGCTTTTGAATTTGAAGAAACCAAAAAATTGTAAAGAAAAATAAGAAACGAAAATAGATCAAGGATTCCCATCAAACACAAGACTTGTTTTAGACATTTATAAATTGTATTAGTATGTTTTGTTATATGTTTTAGATGTTTTAAACATATCTTGTGCCCACTTTGTTGGTCCTTGTGGCACCTCATAACAAATTAACCATTGACAGTTTTCCATCAATTTCTGTGCTATGTTTATGGATAGTATATAGGTCCTGTTAATTTGCTCTTACCTTATCTGCCTAAGGTTTTTAATGATTTTACCATGATCAATGGTGTCAAATGCTTTCGAAAAATAAATGAAAACAGATCCACCAATTTCAATTTAATCAACATTTTTTATGGGTTAAATCTGTTAATAAGGTTGCAGCTTACTTAGATGATCTTTTAATTTTTTTTTTCAAGTTTTTACTTCTAATTAGGATTGCACTGATTAATCTAAACTTTTTGATAAATCAAATTTGGAATAGGCTTGTAATTGTTAGATTATTTGATGATCCCAATATGACTCTGGTCATAAAGCCATAATATGGCTTTATTCCAGGATTTGTTCCATCTATATTTTATATCTTATTCATAATACATTATGAAACAGATGTGGATCTAAAGTTTAGTTTTTCAATCTTATCCTAATCTAGCATTCTGTTCTGAGTTTTAATTTTATGTGTTCTTGCAATTTAAAATTAAAACTTTAAAATAAAATTTTAAAAATATACTATTTACTCCATTAAGTCATTCTTTTAAATGAATGTTTTAGTAATAATATTAGTTTTTTAAATAAATTTATTATTACTTCAGGAAGATCTTGGTTCACTTATTCATATTACAAAGCACATGGAAAATTCTGCAGTATACGCGTTGCCATAAGGCTTGCTAACACTCTGGATTATATCAAAAGCTATTTGCTTAAAATAGGTATAAGCTCAAGCCTATATGCTTGCAACTGATATTTATATTTTTTTAAAATAAAGTTATTTTTTAAAATGAATTAACTTCCAACAAAGTTGCAAGCAACCACTAATCAAGTTAGGAATTTACAAAAACAAAAAGAGAGTTCTTAGTTAAATCTCCACTTCATCCTTTGTTGTTTCCAACATTTTTGTTCACAATCGTTTATTATCAAGGCTCATATTTTAAAATAAAGGGTCAAGAGAGTCATAACAAAAAAAAAAATGAAATGTTATTTTTTTTGTTAGGATCTCCATTACAGTTAAAGTGGGGAGCTTCTTTATTTGTAGTGGCCCCCACATCCTAAAAGAGGTAAATTCTAAATGAACAAACACAATTTGACTTTTTTGGTAAGACTGGATTATATAGTTATGTCATTAAAAAAAAGTGCCACTTTAGAAAAATTAATGAAATTAAATCATGTTTAAAAAACACAAAGAAACTCAGCACAAACTTGAGTCAGTGATAAAACTCAGTGGTACTAGAAATAAGGTATTCAGTGTTTTTATTGGTGACCATCTGACCAATAAAAACTATTGGCAGATAAAGTGAAAGGAGTCAGTCAATTTGGTCAGAAATAACATTAAAAAGAGTACAGTCATAGAAGGATAATAAACAAAGAGAATGTATATATATTTATACATATATATATATATATATATATATATATATATATATATATATATATATATATATATATATATATATATATATATATATATATATATATATATATATATATATATATATATATATATATATATATATATATATATATATATATATATATATATATATATATATATATATATATATATAAATATTATATATATATATATATATATATATATATATATAAATATATATATATATATATATATATATATATATCTTATAATATATAGAAAGATAATGTCTATTTTTTGAAAATCTCTGTATTTTATTATATAGAACACATTTAGGGGGTCCCAAAAAAAACCTTTTTTTTAAAAATTTTTTTATTATATAGAATCCATTCTATATAGGTGTGTGAGTGCAGACATTTTCAAATAAAGTAGTTTTTTGAGGCACCCAAGTGTAGAGATATGTATAAAGATGATATGTATAAAGATGATATGTATAGATTAGCCATAGGGAAAAGTGACTTTGACTGGGCTATGTTGGGGCAGGGGTTAGAATTAGGTCTTGTTTTAGTATTTTTTGTTAAAATAATTATCATTTTTGATAACAAATTTTCAAAAAATTTTTACTAATAAGCTTTAAAAAATAATCTTATTTTGACAGGTATTATGTGAACTTACAGATGGTGGATTAGATTATACCTTTGAATGTGTTGGTAATGTAAATACTATGCGTGCTGCTTTAGAGTGTTGCCACAAAGGTTGGGGTGTTTCAACGATTATAGGTGTTGCAGCTTCTGGTCAAGAAATTAGTACTAGACCTTTTCAGTTGGTTACTGGGCGTGTTTGGAAAGGCTCAGCATTTGGAGGTTGAGTTTTTTTAAAATATTTTATATTATATAAAATATTATATATATATATATATATATATATATATATATATATATATATATATATATATATATATATATATATATATATTTAATCAGTCATAAACAGTTATTCTATATGTTATTGTATTTTATGTTATTCTAAGTCAAGTTTTTTGTAAAACTATTTAACCACTAATTGCTATATATTAAGGATGGAAAAGTAAAGACAGTGTTCCAGTTCTTGTTGACAAATATATGTCTAAAGAATTAAAAATTGATGAGTTTATAACCCATCATTTTAAATTAGAACAAGTCAATGATGCATTTACAGCTATGAAAGATGGATATTGGTAAGAATAGTATTGTGTTGTACTGTTGTCAAGAGTTTAACTTTCAATTGAATTGATAAAATTAACTTTGTTGAAAAATATGTAGTTATTTTGTGTGTGCATATATATATATATATATATATATATATATATATATATATATATATATATATATATATATATATATATATATAATTTTCATTTATTTATAACCTTTCTTAGTATGAGGCTTCATATATTACTAAAACTGTCTTTGCGGACATTGAAACTATTATCTGATATATTTAGCTTTCTATCTTCTTTGATTAATTATGAATTACCTAGTAATGTTATATATATATATATATATATATATATATATATATATATATATATATACATATACATATATATATATGTTTATGTATATATATATATATATGTATATATATACATATATCTATATATCTATATATATATATATATATATATATATATATATATATATATATATATATATATATATATATATATATATATATATATATATATATATATATATATATATATATATATGTATATATATATATATATATATATATATATATATACACATACATACATACAGGGCTTGAAATAAGCGCCGCACATCGGACATTGTCAGGCAATTGTCCGGTAAAAAACGACATCTATCGTTCATTTTGTCTGACATATATTTTATGTGCATTTATTTTCTTATTATTTTAGTTGTTCCATAATTATTAATAAATTCAGTATTGTATAAAGTTTATTTTTTTTATTTTTTATACAAAACAAAATTGAAGTTAAACACATTTTTTGAGTTAATTCTTTTTTTAAAAGATGCCAAAGGATTACATTTTTTTTTAACTAAGTACCTTAGTTTTTATCATTCATATTAAAACATTGATTAGTTATTAATTTAAATTTATAGTTAGTTTTTATTATTATTATTTTTTTCAAATATTTTTTATAAATTTCAACCAAATATTTTAGCTTATAAAACCTTTTTCAAATTTACTATATAAAAATTTTAACACAATAGTTATTTTAATGCTTATAGAAACCAGTGTTTTTTATGACTTTATTAAATTTGAGTTGTTATGTAAGGTTTGTTTTTACGCTAACAATTTTTGCTATTAAAAGTGTTTATAAAGTTAATCCTAGAAAAAGTTTAACCCTTTAAACGTGACGGGCTTTAAAAAGTTGTCTTTGAAACTATGACTTTTTACAGCATAATACGGCTGTTCGTTCATTAAAAATGGTAGCATTAAATAGACAGTTTCTAAACTAGCCCTGTAGCGCCCTGTCAAACGCGGCATTCCCAAATGATCATAAAATTTTTTCACCTTTAAATTCCCAATTTAAAAGTGAAAAAATCCCATTTTCCAAATAAAGTTTGCTAAATTAAAGTTTAATAATAATTCTAAAAATTATTTAAAATTAATTATTATTAAAAACTAATAGAAAAAAAGTCTATTTCAAATTTGCCTAAAACTTAAAATAAAATTGCCATTATTGGTTTAAGTACGTGATTGCATTATTGCAAAAATGTCTCTTCGACAAAACTTCTTGAGAATTGGGATTTTCCAAGGGATTGTAGGGATTTTCTTGGCAACTTGCTAGTAAAATTAATTTCTTCAAATTTGCAAATAATTTTTTGCAATGCATTCCAACATCAGCAAGTGTTATATTAAAAAGTTAGCAAGAAATAAAGCACTAATCTAAAAAATCTAAAATAATAACAAATTTGTTTGGTTTGACATCATCAAATGCTATTTCTTTAAAAGTT